TGAGCTCTTTGACATCCAGGCTTCAGCAGGTGGCATGGAAATAGTGCATCCACCTCTTTGCTGCTTGTGACTGTCACTTTCCAGAAGACCTGTGTAGAAGAGTGGTAGCAGACACAGGAAGGTGTGAGATGAGGGTATGGAGGGGTTTGTCTACTCCTACCTTACAGGACCAATTTAAGTCTCTTTTTCCAGTGCTTATATCCAGCTTAATGCAAAAAAAGCAAATGAAAAATTTACTTATTTATTTGTTTCAAGTTATAATACTGCTTTTTGATTGGCAAAGGGTTAGGTAACAAAGGGATTTAAAATTATTTTTACTTGACAAAGGTTTTGATGCATTTGAAAAAAAATGTTCATTGTATGTTATAGACAATAATACAGTACAATTCTGAAATTTGAGTAAATATTGTATTCACTTGCACTTGTCACACCTCATTTCTTCTGAGTCGTTAAGGCAAATGCTCCTTTTCTGGTCTGGGGAATGAAGAAAAAAAAAATCCTGCCATGTAAGTAGTACTTTTTTTAGCCAAGAAAGACTTGTAGACACTCCTGATTTTCATTCATTTTAGACTTGAACTATTTGGCAAAGTAATCTTAACCGCTGTGAAGCGTTTAACATATCTCTCTAGAGAAAGTGACTGAGATACCACTTATCTGTGTACCTCAAAATAGCAAAGGAAGAGAAAGAGAAGCTAAGCTATTCTATGTTCCTAATGTCTTTGACTTAAGCAGGCTTAATTTAATTCTCTGTTCCTTTCTGGCTGTCTTTGCATGTGCTTTATTGAAGAACTCTGAATAAAATATATATATGTTGGAGTTTTTGCCTATGATTTTATTAGATACAAGGTAGCTACCTCTGTTTCATTTTTGAGGATCATTGTGCTCTTTTTCCTAGTCTTAATTCTCTAATCAAAACAAACAGTAAATTTACTTGTTTTTGTTGAGTAGGTGACCTTCTGAGGTGTTTTTTGAAATACTGAGCTCCTTTTACTAGTTGATGATTGCTCCTTATATCTTGTTCTTTTTGGTCTTCTCATGGAGTCCCATGCAGGGGACTGCATGGGAGCAGTAGGCAGGACCTTCAGCCTTACATGACTGATACCCTCTCAAAACTTAGTTGTACATCTGTGGAGACTGCTGCATTCTACCCTTCAAGATTCCCAGATAAAGCAGGCTTTTGCTCTTACTGCTTTATTTTTGTTATTTTTTTGTAATTTGTTCGTATACATATTGTGTTTTTGCTTCAAATCACAACTTAATTTTTTAAAACTGGCTGTAGGGAGAGCCTGTGTTCACACTGTGGGTTTTTTTTAATTCTTGGCTGTCATAACATCAATTTTTATTTAATGTATGATGGAAAAAAGTCTTTACAGTAGAAAATATTTAGATATACTCTAAACTCTTCAAGAGTTTGTGCTGAGTGAGATAGGTGGGGACACAATCACATTAACTTCAAGACCTTGAAACTAGTGCATCATGTTCAAATAAGGTCAGTTTTGTTGCCTCTGCTCTCGTCTTGGGTATTAATCTCATGTTATAGACTTTAGGAGGCAGTTGCTCATAGATCAATGGTAAGAATAAAGCTATATTTTGCTTTCAGTATATCTAATGTTCTCCCTGAATAAATGAAAAATATGTGTTCAAGTTAGCTTTTAGCAGCAGTCTCTGCAGTTGGAGCTGCTGAGTGCCACCTGTAAGATTTAGCTGAACTGTGGAGGAGTTTGGTTTTGTTTCTTAAAGATAAACTTTAATTTTGAGGGGAAAAAACCCCAAACTTACCACTCTATTTTTGTCTTATTTGCTCTCACACTTCAATAAATAAATAAATAAATGCCATGCTCCACTTTCTTGTATGAGCATGGTCTTCCACATTCTCTTCTGGTGATAAGTACAGTTTAAATCTGCTGCCTGTGGTTGTTAAATCAAAGATATAAGCTTTTGCTCCACACATCCTGCAGCCCCAGACTCACACCTGTGAACAGAATTGCAGCAGTCAGTGAACTGAATTCAGATTTTGTGCCTTTCCTTTGAAGCCACGATTCTCTTTTAATTAAAATGGGAAAAAAAGATTGGCAAAAATTCCTTCCCATTTGCAGGACATGGAAGTGGAGGAGTGAGGAGTCATGTGTGACCTCCAGTCCCTTTTGATTAAAGGAGTCTTCCCTAGATCTCAGAAGCTGCTCTGTTCTCTCTACGATCAGCTGCAGGGAACAGGCATCCTCATGCTCCAGAACAGAGCAAGTGATAGGAATCTTACATGGGGATGGCTTGGCCTCTCATCCTCTGGGAAAGCCTTGTATGACACACGTCCGTCTCCGATGTTTCCAGCAGGTCTTGCATGATCTGCATTGGTCCAATTGCCATGGTGTAGCTTTCACCACCTGTGATGAGGTCTGGCAGGAAAGAGTTGGAAGACACTGTTTTCACAGGGCCAGGTTTCGCAAAAATCAGCCTAAGAAAGTTTGCTGCAGAGTAGAAATGGAAACTCTGGGCAGTGCTGCTGCAAGAAAGGTATCAGCCCTTGATACCCTCAATCTAAGACGGTGGCTTTCACTTTTTACTGAACTGACATGTGATAACTGGCCTTAACGTGGGACTTTAAGGAAGTCCAAAATACATGATTCACTTAATTCTTGGATGAGAATGGTAATTTATTGAGATAGCAAGAAAATGGCATCCCTAATTCTGAAAGTTATTTTGTACAAAAATGTGGACAAACCAGACCTGAGAAGTCCTACAGAAAAAGATGGGCAACCAGCTCATTTATGAACACATGCACATATTTGAACAGAGATCTTTTTATCTTCTAATAAGCATGAGGATCCGTGAAATGACCAAGCAGTTAATTTAATCCCTTGTCCTTTGAGTAATTGTATAAAATGAGAGAGCAGATTTGGGACTTAGCATTCCAAGTGTTAGCTATTAATAGAAGCACTTGCTGAGGTGGAGGTAAGGTAGTGGGGAGGAGGTAGAAAGGGGGCAACTGTTAGGTGCTTTCCCTTGTGAGAAAGCTAAATGAGAATCATCCTCTCTTACAAATGAAGACATCAGCCTTTGTT